GCAGAGAAGCTAAAACAGGAGAAATATGATCTCGTTTCTTAGTTCCTGTTAGTACACGTGCTGCTGCATTCTGAATTAGCTGGAGAGTTTTTAAGGACTTACTAGAGCTACCTGAGAGTTACAGTAATCCAGCCTTGAGGTAACAATCAAATTGGATCAATTTTTCTGCATCTTTTCGGGTCAGGATAGGCCTAATTTTCGCAATATTACGCAGATGAAAAAATGCAGTCCATGAGGTTTGTTTTAAATGAGAATTAAAAGACAAATCTTGATCAAATGTTACTCCGAGGTTTCTTACGGTAGTGCTAGAGGCCAGAGCAATGCCATCTAGAGAAACTATGTCATCAGATAAAGAGTCTGAGTTGTTTGGGGCCAAGAACATTAACTTCAGTTTTGTCTGAATTTAACATCAGGAAATTGGTGCTCATCCACATGTTTCTTTGCGAAAGTCTTGTAGGCAAGCAAGTACGCAAAACTTTATTTATATAGCACATTTAAATCCAGGTGGAAGCACAATGTGTTGCGTAACGTGGGAGCTACCATGGAGGTTGCTGCCACAAACACCAACACCAACATGACTGGGTAGGGTAGGATGCTCCAGTGGCTTGGAGTATAAAACCTAAAGGCAGCTTCACCAATTTTCATGGAGACCCAAGGAATAACTAGACAGCCTGTTCCAGATGACCTGAGATGTCTTTCTGGGTCATAGCGCATAAGTATGTCAGAGAAATATTGGGGTGCCACGCCATTAAGGGCCCTAAATTGAGCATAACAGTTTTGAAAATCAGTACTAAAATTTACTGGGAGCCAGTGTGGCATCCTCAGCAAAAGTGTTACATGGTCATATTTCCTTTCTCTAGGCCTCTAGTGTTTAGCCTTCAAAGGACACAGTACATCATGCAAATACTAAAGGGCATTTTCTAAAAATATAGGCCATAGCTTGCAGTATTTTTCACAATAATATATTTTTTACTTTGATCTCATTACTTTAGGATGACTGTGGAAAGGGAAACGGCACCTTCTCTGTGAGAGTGGAGAGTGTGCCCTGCTGTGATGAGGCGCTCACCTGCTCTCGCTCCATCATCCTCGACCTGCAGGTGGACGGCTGCTTCTAGGATTCTCATTTTACCTCACTGAGACCCTGAGCTACTGTCCACATGTTTATTATCTATCTTCATTATCTTCATTGTGCTGTAATATCCGTTCCTTCCTTATGTCATGACTGGTATCTGTGCTGTCCTGAAAGGGCGAGGTCACCCTGACGCTGAGTGACATGAAGGTGACCAGACGTTACCATGGCGGCTGGACTCTGCAGGAAGGTTCACTTTACTCCACACACACCGTGGGACTCTACATCATAATCTCAGTACCAAGCAGAGGGATAACTCTCATCTGGGACAAACACACCCGCATCACTATAGAGCTGCATGAATACTGGAGGGTGAGTGATGAGGATTTTGAAATGTAATCATTTATGTATCACTTGTCACATGATTTAACACTTTGGTCCCAGGCCTAAATAAATAGTATTAAATACTGCTAAATATAAGGGTATTTGAATTTTAAGTGTTATTTTTAATACATTTTAAATAGACTATTAAACCACCTCTCCCGCAGAACCGTGTGTGCGGCCTCTGTGGTAATTTTGACTCCAATGAGATGAATGACCTTCAGATAAGTGGCTCAGCAGGTAAATTAGTTTTCTCTTTGTGTTACAAAGGACTTTCACTTTTGTCACAGTGGTCAAAATAACACCAAACATCTGTTTTAGTGATGTCCNTCTAGTTGCCTTTGTGTTTTGTGCCGGGATGTAGCCAACTCACACGAGGAACTGGTCTTGCTCGGTCTTGGTCTTTCACTGGATAAAAAACATCAGGTAAGTTACCCTGCCTGCTAGCTAGCTGGGGAAGGTGACATATATTCTGTGAGACGAGAGATGTAGTTTACCGTAGTTTCACATAAAACTAAACAGTACCGCGACAAACCTACAACAAACAAAAATTATGTTTTAGGGACAGGTCACACATGACCAAATGCAAGCACACACAAGACACAGCAACAAACAGAGTCAACCACACATACCTCTTTGCTCTCGGTTGAGGCTGCAACTTCGCCACTCAGAGTTCACCAAAGTTGAACTCCATGTGATGCAAAGATACCAATTTGCTGTACCACTGGAAGTGAATGGTTTATTTGCCCCTCTGTTTTCACTGAAAGCAAACAAATAGGAGGTGAATATTGGCCAGTGTTAATGTGTGACCATACTACGTTTTTAATGACAAACAATATAAGTGTAATTCACAGTTCAAGAGGGAATAAAAATGATTCACCTCTATTTACATTAATAGGCCTTCACGGAAAGCCCTTAAATGCGTTATTGAAACTCTATTCTGGATGTTCTACAATCTACAGGTGGATCCAGATCCCTACTATCAGGCCTGTGTGCAGGAGTCCTGCTCCTGTCAGTTTGAAGGGAAGTTCCTGGGCTTCTGCACAGCTGTTGCAGCCTACGCAGAGGCCTGCAGCGACAAGGATGTGTGTGTAAAATGGAGAACACCTGATTTGTGTCGTAAGTCGTGATGTCGTTTAAGTTTACTTTCTTGATTAAACGTTGAATAACACGGTATATACAGTACATTGCAGAAAATTTAAAAGTAAATACCCATCCATCTAATGTCTCTGCTTCGTATTTTACATAGTTTATACACTTTATATAATGTTTTATCAATATTTAAGTATTTCTTTGTAATTGTGACTGACACTGTGTAAGACACATCAGTGATCAGTCTGTGTAGCTAACAGTACGTGTGGTAAAAAGTGTGTCATTATTGTTGTTTACAAAATATGAATCATGAACATAACTTGGTCTGATCAATTTAACGTGATTATTTAAACTTAGCGGTCTACTGTGACTACTACAATGAGCAAGGCCAGTGTAGCTGGCACTATGAAGCCTGTGGTGAGATGCTAACCTGCGGCAAAGACACCAGCACTCACAAGCTGGAAGGTAATCAGACTTTCTTAGTTGTTTTCAAACAAAAGATAAACTTCTGTCTTAATCATCAGTTGAATCCAGTGAAAATGAAAAATAATGTCTTAATGTTACTTAGCTTGTATCATTCTGTCAGTACTGCAAACAAACCTGGCCTCAGAATAACATCCTCCCAATTCAGATATTTATTGAATAATTTGACTTTTTTTTTTCTTGTCAATACTTCTAAAATCAATTTGCACCCATAAAATAACAATTGTGTTTATTCTTGCAAAGGCTGCTACCCCAGATGTTCAGAGGAGACGCCATACTATGATGAAAATACTGGTGAATGCACCAAATTGAGAAACTGCACCTGTTATTTTAATGACACTGTCATTCAGCCTGGAGCAGTGGTGATGATACAGTCTATTAAGTGGTAAGTCAATAGATTTATACAGTATGTCTAGATATAAACATTTTCAGGATAACCATAATATGAAAAACATTTCTTTACACTGACAACTGGAAATTTCTACTCTCATATTATCCTTATCAGCCACTGTGAAAATGGAACAGTGAACTGTAGTAAGTATGAATTATATTCATGTACCACTACATTCAAATTAGGTTTTAGTTTTATTTTAGATTACAGTGTATGTGCCTTCACAGAACCTGTTTGTAAAATACCAGACCTCAATTCCACCTCTGCTCCAACAGCACCTCCAGAACCTCCAGCCACCACTACACGTGCCACCACTCCTACATCAAGCACTCCCACCACAACTGCCTCAACTACCACTGAAACAACTGTGCTTTACAACACCACTACACCACCAACTACAACTGCCTCAACTACAGCTGAAACAACTGTGCTTTACACCAACTCTACACCAACAGCTACAACTGCCTCAACCACCACTGAAACAACTGTGCTTTACACCACCTCTGCACCAACAACTGGCTTAACTACAGCCGAAACATTGTCAGCAACGCCCCCCTCCACTCCTACATCAACAGCTACAAATGCCTCAACTACCACTGAAACAACTGTGCTTTATACCACCACAACACCAACAACTACAACTGCCTCAACTACAGCTGAAACAACTGTGCTTTACACCAACTCTACACCAACAACAGCTGGCTTAATTACAGCTGAAACATTGTCAACAACACCCCCCTCCACTTCTACACCAACAGCTACAAATGCCTCAACTACAGCTGAAACAACTGTGCTTTACACTACCTCTACACCAATGACTACAGCTGCCTCATCTACCACGGAAACAACTGTGCTTTACACCAACTCTACACCAACGACTACAAATGCCTCAACTACAGCTGAAACTACTGTACTTTACACCAACTCTACACCAACAACAACTGGCTTAACTACAGCTGAAACATTGTCAACAATGCCCCCCTCCACTTCTACACCAACAACTTCAACTACCGCTGTAACCTCAGAAACCCTTACAGAAGTGACTAACGCAACAGAAATCACCACCAGCTCACCCATCACATCATCTACAACTAGAATGAGCACCACTCCTTCGATGTCAACTGCTGCCTCAACAGAGCTTACAATGATAACAAATAGCACAACACCTCACTCAACAACCACTTTTGTAACCAATGCTACATCTGCTGAAACCTCAGGTCCGACTGAAGTAACTATCACAGAAGCTCCCACTGAAACATTTACCTCTTCTACGCACTCAACCACTCAGCATACTGCTACCTCCCCAGAAACAGCAACGTCTCATGAAGTGACAACTAAATCTACGACGATGCCACCAACAGCAAAGACCACAGAGGTTTCCACAAGTGAAGGATTCACCAATGCAACATTTACCACTGAACTGACAACCGCTGAGGAATCAGGCACCACAATGACGACAGAAAAAACATATCACACTTACCACGCAGTAGTCACTGGCACAATAGCGACATCAGCAACTGTAACACGTAAACAGGACACGGAATCAAGCTCCACAACTGAGGGTACATGCCATATACTTGTTCTGCACATTACTCTGTTTTTCAGTTATCCTAGCAATCAGTCTCTAAAATTACTTAAACAATGTTTCAGTCTTTTGTATGTTCACTGTCTTCTACTGTGTTTATCAATGTACCAGTGTGTAAGTGTACAGACCGTATGAAGAAACAAAGCTGGGACTGCGGTGAGACGTGGATGGAGGACTGCTTCCATAAGAACTGTATAGGGGGGAAGATAGAGTTGACTCCAGTGGCTTGTCCAGAGCCTGCGATTCCCAATTGCCCCAGAAACCAGGTCACGAAAGTCTCAGACGGATGCTGTGAAAGATGGGAGTGTGACTGTAAGTGATTTTTTTTGTTATTGTTGTGGTTAATAGGAGTTTAATGGTTTCCAAACTGAACCTGTGATACAAATGTCCACGATCTCTGTGTCATGGTTTGGTTCTCTGTATTTTGGTTTTTCCCCACACCTTTCATCCTGCTGCCTAGGTGAAGCCTTAAAGCTTTCACAAAGTCATGAGGTGGAGCTTTCAAAGAGTGGCTACTAATAACCCTGAGATTGCAGACCCTCGAAGCATATTCAGTTTAAAGCTCTGCTTCTCTGCCTGAGCCCGATTGGGCCCAACTGCTGGGTTCATGTTAATATCTCATTATTGTTTGAATTGGGTCGCCAATTTAGTGTTTTTTTCAGTTCACTTGTCCCAAAATAGGTGTTTACCCCCAATCAGTTCGAACTGACGAATCTATCCTTATGACACCATGCTATCAGCTCTGTGAGGCTGCATTAGGGGCATTGGTGCTTTGAACAAAATGCTTATGTCATGCTAACATGCTCACCATGACAAAGTTAACATTCTGACGTTTAGCAGGTAATCATTGCTATGGTCGCCATATTAGGCAGAGTTTGGCCTTTACTGCAGCCAGCCACCAGAGGGAGTTTTAAGATGTTTTGGCTTCACTAAGGAGCTGTCATCCATCTTTATTATACAGTCTATGGTCAGTAGCAAGGGGTTATCTCTGGGTGTAAAACGTGACGCCAATGCAGAAGTGCCTGCATTCTTTCTAATGGCCAGCAGGTGGCGACTCCACTGGTTGCACAAAGAAGTTAAATTGTATAGAAGTCTATGAGAAAATGACCCTGCTTCTCACTTTATTTATTATCTCAGTAATCATTTTCCTGATGAGTTTATGGTCTGAATTGTTAGTTTCACGTCTTCTGCAAAACAGCATGATCTTCATTTTTAAATTACGGATCCATTTAGAGTAAGATAAAAGATAAAGCAGGTTTTGCTTTAGGGCATGGCTACCTTGTGATTGACAAGCTGTTACCATGTTGGTGACTGTAGGTTCTCAGTCAGGTTATTGTTACTTCTGGCTCAAAAAAAAACAAGATAGTGACAGCCAAAATGCCAAACTTGAGGCATCAAAACAGTAGTCTACAAACCAATGGATAATGTCACGATGGTTTCGTCCACGTATATAGTCTATGGCCTGTTGTAAACTGGCAATCCATCCAGTAGTTGTTGAGATACTTTAATCTGGACAAAAGTGTTGACTTGACAGTTCCATCCTTATAGCCATATTGCTAACATGGCTATTTTTTTTTTTTTTTTTTTTTTTAATACATTTCTTGTTTGCTGTCCATATCTACTAAATCACCTCTTCCCCCCTCTAGGTCGCTGTGATCTATATGGGGACCCCCATTACATCTCTTTCCAAGGTGTACCCTTTGATTTCCTTGATGATTGCACCTACATCCTGGTGGAGGAGAGGGCTCCACGTCATCATCTGAAAATTGCTGTGGACAATTTTTTCTGTGTGCCGGGCCTTGAAGGCTCCTGTGCTAAAGGCATCATCCTGAAATATCAGGACAGTATAGCTACACTCAGCCTCATTCCACATTTGTATACAGTACAGGTAGGATATAATACAACTTTATTTATCCTATATCATATCACCATGCCAACTTATACAATATTGGCTGTTTGTCTACAAGGATGCTAATGATATTTTTCTGTTAAAAAATGTATCTCCAATGCTCTACATATTTAAACCTACCATACTCTATTTTAAGAATTGCATAGAAAATTGGTTTAATTCTTGTCTAATCTACTTTAGGCCACTCTGAACAATGTGACCATTGAGCCGCCATATGAGGAACATGGGTGGACATTCGAGACCACGGGGTACATAGTGTCAATCTACCTCCCGGAGATCCGCTCTTATGTCTCCCTAAGTCCGTCTTATACCCTGGTGGTCAGTCTGGCTATGGAGCACTTCCACAACAACACCCAGGGACAATGTGGTGGGTAATGGATCGAAAGTGATGGTTAAGTGCATACTTTATATCCATCTAAGCAGTGTGTGTTTGTCTATGTATAGTGGATTTTCAGGTAATGCAAAAGCTTATCTTGTTTTGTCAACCTTGCAATAGCAGCCAATATGTTGCTATATTAGCTTGAAGGCTAACAGGCCAAACAGTATGTTTAATTTAAAGCCGCAGCTTTTTAGAAAGAATAAATGCTGCTTGTTTGAGGTTGTTTGTTAGAATGTTTTCATCAAGCGGCAACCTTCAGGGCTGAAAAATGAAGCCAACACCAAAGTGCCAAAAACCACAGTTCCTGTAGTGACCACTTGAGGCTAGCTCCAAAAGCAGGTCAAGCAGAGATACATGTTTACAGTCTTGTACAAAAAACATTTTTTATGTTTAAAGCTAATTTAACCATATCTGTTGCTGTGTTTTCACTGAAAGATTTTGTCATCTAAAAAAAGTCTTGTCCAGCATTTGGTTGTACAAAAAGAACCTCTCAGGAGTCAAGTGCTCAGTAAGCACATTTTGTTTTAAAATTAGCATTAGCGTTATTGCAGTCAATAGCTGTAAATGTGCTGTGCCAACCAAGCTAGCAGCTAGCATTGGAGTTAGCTCTACCATGTCCTCCAAATATGACTTCTGGGTCCAAAACTCCAAGATGGCAACAACCAAAATGCCAAACTCCAGGCATCAAAATGGGAATCCACAAACTAACATGACGTCACGATGGCAGTGTCCATTGGTCTGTATATAGTTGATACCTGTTGTGGAAGGGAGATCTGTGTCTGAGCTAGAGAACCACAAAAAGTGACTAAAAGCTGTACACATATTGTTTATGTCATCAGATTGCACATCTTGTACCCTGAGCTCACCCCTCCATCTTCTCTCCAGGTGTATGCGGTGTTGGGTCATGTATCCGTAAAGGAGGGCAGATGGAGGATGACAGCTGCTGTGATAAGACAGCCTATGACTGGGTGTACGCCAACCCACTGAAGCCTGCCTGTGCTTCTGTACCAAGGAACGTACCTTGTTACTCACCCACTACAGTACCCCCTAACACACCCACTTCCACCCCCTGCCCTGCGAGTGCACTATGCGAGCTGCTACACCACCCGTAAGTTCCACACGCTAACACACACACATACCTTGTGGAGAGATTTACAAATTTTTTTGCTAGATGCCATGAAAGAGAGACACAATGTAAAAACTACATTTGTGACTAATGCAGACACATAGGAGGAACCACCCAGAGTCACCCCAGACACCCTAGCCACTTATTTCCTAGCAGTCACCCATAACACCTTAACAACCTCCAAGCAACCACCTAGTACCACCCTAGCAACCATGTACAAGTCTCTACACATAGTTTTCTTTATTTTTATTTTAGTGGTATATAACCCTGGCTGTCTGTTTCTTTGCATGTGTAACTACTGACTAACAATCAAATCTTTACTGTTTCCTCAGAGTGTTTGCAAATTGCAGCGTGAACCTGAACCTTACAAAGAGGAACTGTGAGTTTGATTCATGCAGGAATGGTCCTTGCTCCTCACTAGAGCAAGCTGCTGAGGAATGCATGAAGGCTGGTGTCTGTATTGACTGGAGAGGACTGACCAATGGAAGCTGTAGTACGTATCTTTTGTCCGAAGCCAGTCAGACAAGGAACTTAAGGGATAGTTCACATCTTTTAAAGTGGGGTTGTAGCAGGCACTTATCCATAGTCAGTGTATCAGTGTATGACCTACAGTAGATGGCAGTTGGCATGCCTCCAGTTTGGAGAAGCAGAAGGAAAACCACCACAGAAGCTCTGCTTTAGATGGGGGCAGCAGCAAAACATATTTTAGCCACCTAACAAGGTCCCACCTAAAACAAAATTAAGATCACTTGAAGTATACATTAAAATGAGGATATTTTCACCTCTTTACCTTTCTGTCAGACAGTCATTTCCTATGTGGAAGCCATTAACAGCCTCAGTTCCCCATGATAAACTGATGCAGCTTAGTTTTAGGTCTTTTTTTTTAAGGTAGCTAGAATACTTGTTGTTGCTGCCCCCTGTCCACGGCAGTAGGTTGCTTTGTGTGCCAAGTGTCATCTACCGAAGGTACTACACTGACAAACTGACTGTGGATAAGTACCTCATACGACCCCACTTCAGAAGATCTGAACTATCCCTTGAATGTTTGCACACATTTCTGTGTATTATGGACCAGACTGTAATGCTGTTTGCATTAAAATGTCAATGCTAAATTCCTTCTTAAACTGATATTTATCATTGTACTTGTTCATGTTTCAGCTGTGACATGTCCAGAAGGATTGGTTTACAGAGAATGTCATGACAAGGTGGATGACGTCTGTTGTGGAGGGTTTGTAAAGTTTACTTTTACTAAATAATATCCTTAGACTTGTTGTGAAATTTATCTCTCACTTTATTAAATCCAAAATGTTTCCCCTGTTAAGATTTCCATCATTTCTGTTTCTCTTCTGGTTTGGCTATACAGAATACCTCATCAAGGGGCCTCGCTGGAGAACCGCAGGCCAGGCTGTTATTGTCCCAGCGGCCACTACAGGGCAGGAAATCACTCACACATCTGTGTGTCTGACTGTTCCTGTAAGTTACATGGCCAATAAGGCTGACACTCACCTAGATGTATAGTATGTAGTCATAATTTGTGTTAATGTAGAGTCTGTGTCTCGTCAATCAGATTGTAAAGGACCACGTGGTGAGCCCAGACTGGTGAGTATCTTTGTCTCATCAGTGCAAAAATAGTCAGATCTCTGATGACTCTCACAGTTGACTGAAGTAACACAGTAATGGAGGACCCAAATGCAGGACAGCAGGCAGGAGGATGCAGAAAAGATATTTTAATGGAAGCTAGCAGGCTAACAGGTAGACAAGGTAAACATCAGACGGGCAGGCAAAGAGTCAGGAACAATCAACAAGAAAAAAAACAAGAACACAGGGAAACTACAAGGACCACGGGCAGGTGACCTGACCAAGAACAAAGAAGTGGGCAGGTAGGAGTATAAGACACTGGGTGTTTCTTAAAGTCAAGGAAGGATCTTCAAACGGCTGAATATGAAGGAGGCTACGTCATCCTGTTGAAGGACTGTTCCAATGTCAAGGATCCTTACTAATTTCACCGAGGACAGAGTCCTTCTTCCAGAGAAATTCCAAGGATGCATGTGTGGATCCTCAGCGGGTATAAAATCCCCACAATGCTTTGCACACGATTTGCTAGAAGTGAGGGCGGGGCCTCTAAAATGAAACTTGTGCCAGCAGAGCTCCGCAGGACTAATATAAATATGCCATTTATTAGGATTAATGTCTCCACCTGAGTTTTTATCATAAAAACTTGAAAAGAAAAATATTGACAGAAACCTCATAATTTACACTTTCCAATGGGTCCACTGCTGAATAATGAGATTTTGAAAGTAACGTGATTTAGACGAAACAAATTTTTTTAATTAATCATTCCCAGCAGAGATGGAGCATGAAGTGTCCCCCTCCCCTTCTACCCCCACTATTGACATGATAAGGACATAATTGCTTTCATTCTGTCAGCTTCAGTTGGTGTTGGGGGAATCGCAGTGAGAATGACCACAGTATAGACATTAGAATATCCTGCTGGTCAAAGCATCACTCTTTTGTTTTGAGGTGAACATATTTCAGAGGATTACACAGCAGTATAATCTACAATTGGCGCGGTCAGTTGTTTCAGAGCAGCGCGGCTCATCAGATCAGATCTGTTCATATTATTGTAGCGCAGTGTGTGGTGACACAAATAGAGAATATGGATCACTTTGGAATCAAAGAGTGAGTCTGTGTGAGTCTGTGTATATACTGAAAAAGATCATTTAGAACATTTTTTCAGCTTTTGTCTTTACTTCATTACACCACTTACTCATAAGTATGATCCAGAAATACGTGACTCTGACAGTACTGATACATGATACATACCCCCCCCCGTCTGCTTAAGGACTCGTCCTACCAAGGAGGGATCCTTGACTTTGAGAAACACCCACTTATTGGAAAGGTGAGAACAGGTGAGTAGACTGCAGGACTACTGAGGGACAGGTGAAACTAATCAGGGCGGGGCAGACAATCAAAAAGGCGGGAAAATACTAAGACAGGAACAAAACCAGACACATGAGGAATTAACCTACAAAATAAAACAGGATACAGAATAAACATGAATATCCCAAATTGGATTGTGGAAGTGTTTCTGTATCTGTCTTCCAGCCTGGTGAGGTGTGGCAGTCTGGCTGTGACCTGTGTACATGTAACAACCAGACTCGCACAGAGGTGTGTGTTCCAAAACCTCCTAATCCAGCGCCTCTCTGTGGCCCCAGTGCTGTTCTGGTAAACACTTCCTGCTGTGGTGATCAGATTTGTGGTAAGTCATTATGTTTTAAAATGATGATTTAAGTACTTTCTTAGAGACCTTCCTTGCTTCACATGAATACTAATACAGCTAACACATTAATACTTATTGTGTTGTTTTTCAGTTGAGAAGACATGCAGTTATCATAACAAAACATACAGGGTATGTTGTGTCTAATCTTATAACAGTATCTGTTTGTCTTCTCCCTCAGGAAAAATAAATGTTTGATTGAAATGAATCATCATACTGTGTAGCATGTCGTGATATGTTTCTTTGTGTGTGTAGGTGGGAGACAGATGGAAGGATGCCGCCCATCCCTGCATGACATATACCTGCAGCAAAGAGGGTATTCAGACTGAGACTAGAGTCTGTCCCACACAAGACTGTCCAGAGGTACTGCACACCCTCTGATTTGTTCCTTAAACTGTAACATCTTACAAATCTTCATTGATAACTAACTGTTTTCATTCACCTTTACTGGAAGTAGAAAGAAAGCATTTTTCCAGTATGGGGCAGTAGAAAAACAGTTCACCCTGAAATCAAAAATTCAGATTTTAACATTTACCTATAGTGCTGTTTATTAATGCGGATTGTTCTGGTGTAAGTGGCTGAGTGTTGGAGATATCAGCCATAGAGATGTCTGCCTTCTCTGGAATAATGGAACTAGATGGCACTCGGCTTGTGGTGCTTAAAGCACAAAAAAAATACATTTGAAAAACTCAACAGCAATGTCTCTTTCCAGAAACCATGACCCAGTTACTCAAGATAATTCACAGACCTTGTTGTGAGCAGTTTCATGTAGGAACTATTTTCTTACTACCAAACTACACCTGCCAACTGTGTCACTGCGCAGAAGGAAGTGTGCATCTACAGTACTCATGTATGAGAGGCTTGTGCTCATGACAGTACAAGATGTAAACATTAATGGCGTCCTCCTCAGCTACGCTGAAATGTTAGCTAGCTCAGTGGTGCTAGGTGAGCTATCACCACTTCCTTTTGTGTGGTGATACGATTGTTCAAGAAAAGGCAGACATCTCTACGGCCGATATCTTTAATGCTCGGCAGCTCACATCAAAACAATCTAGACTGATAAAAAGCACGACAGGGAGAATAAAATGTATTTTTTGTTATTTGGGGGCAAACTATCCCTTTAACCTTGAGCTGTTGTGATTTAATCACCAGGAGGACAGAATTTGGGACAACCAACACTGCTGCTTTTCATGTAAGTTACGTCAAAATCAATACAATTTTTATGTCATTTAGAATTTCAGAAGTTTTGCAGAAGTTTGACATTTCAGTTCCAACGATTTATTGAAAAGAAGATATTTGCACATCCAGCCATCTCAGGTGTAGGTATTTTGGAAAGTATCACTTGAGTCTTGAAAAGATAATCCCACACACTGCTCTTGCTCAGCATCACCATTTATTTGTTATACTATACTAACGTTTGGTCAAGACTATCATCCATCCGTCCATTTTCTAACCGCTTATCCTCTTGAGGGTCACGGGGGCGCTGGAGCCTATCCCAGCTGACATTTGGTGAGAGGCAGGGTACACCCTGGACAGGTCGCCAGACTATTGCAGGGCTGACACATAGAGACAGACAACCATTCACACTCACATTCACACCTACAGACAGTTTTGAGTCACCAATTAACCTGCATGTCTTTGGACTGTGGGAGGAAGCCGGAGTACCCGGAGAAAACCCACGCTGACACGGGGAGAACGTGCAAACTCCATACAGAATCGAACCGGGATCGTACCAGGAACCTTCTTGCTGTGAGGTGACAGTGCTAACCACCACAACACCGTGCCGCCCTGTATTCAATACAATTTTTTACATTTTTTTTTAGGATCATTTACAACAATGTTCCTAAATAGATAGAACTCCGCCCATTTCATGTGCACAGGTGTAGGACAATTAATCACCTATGAGTGTGTTTCGGAACAACTGATTATTTACAAAATATGCTGATCTTATGAATGAACACAGGGCAGCATAGTAGTGCAGTAGTTAGCATTTCACCCTCAAGAGGGTTTCTGGTGCGTATCCAGGGTCGGGGAGCCCTTCAGTGCAGAGTTTGCATGTTCTCTCCGTGTCAGCGTGGGTTTTCTCCGGGTACTCCAGCTTCCTCCCACAGTCCAAAGACATGCAGGTTAATTGGAGACTCTTAATTGGCCTTAGGTGTGAATGTGAGCATGAATGGTTGTCTGTCTCTATGTGTCAGCCCTGTGATAGTCTGGTGACTTGTCCAGGGTGTACCCCACCTCTCCATAGGCTCCAGCGCCCCTGCCACCTCCAACAGGATAGGTGGTTATGGATAATGAATGAATGAATGAATGAACACATAGGCCTTGCCGCTTTGCACACCTACAGGTGATTAATTGTCCCGTACCTGTGCACATGAAATGGGCAGAGCACTATTTATTTAAAATCAGTGTGTAAAAATTTTAACCAAAATATTAGTATAACAAATAAATGGTGATGCTGAGCAAGAACAGTGTGCAGAATCCTCCTTTCAAGTTGCAACAATTTAACCACCGAAATTTAAATAGTGTGGGACTTTCCTGCATTCAAAACTTCATAAAGGGACAAAAACATCTTTAGATTTTGTAGATGTTTTTTTCCCACTCATCACACTGCCTCCAGTATTATTTTCCTCTGTCTTCAGGTAACCAGAGCTGTGCACCAAGGCTAACCGGTATCAAGTTTACCATAGAGAACTGTACCACAGTCATGCAGATGCCTGTGTGTGAGGGTCAATGTGTGTCTCAGCCCAGGTGAGAAGAAATATATCCGTCAGGATGGCAATAGTTACACACACACACACACACACACACACACACACACACATGCACACACACCACATTGTAAAGTTTCTTTGTGAATTTGACTGAATTTTATTTCTGGTTTTATCTCTCACCACAACAGGGTGGTGTTACACGGTGACCTGCAGGTGGAGCAGAAGAGCAGATGCTGTGCGGAGCGGAGCTCAGAGAGGAGACCGGTGACCCTGCTGTGCTTTGACCTCACCACCAGACACTACTTCTACAAGCATATCACCAGCTGTCACTGCACAACCTACAGGCAGGACTGGTTAATTGTGGATTAAATGTATGTGTAATCAGATTACAAAAAAAGTAAATATGATCATTCTGGATTACATTTGGAAAAAAGTGTAATTAGACTATAATTACATTGTCAAAGATTACTTGATTCTATATTTGATAGTATCTTTATAATATGGCAACTTTAAAATGATGAAACTTTTTTCCTTGATAATCAGTCCTCTATACAGCCTTCAATTAAAAACAGCAGAAACAAACACGCACACAGAAGAAACAGCACCCACGTGTTGCAGAATACTAAAAGTACATCTGTAGTTCGTGACAGTACTGTTTCTGTAAGAGTAATCTGATTTGACAGCACAGACTGGAGCTAAGATTTAATCATTTTGAATGTATCCTTTAGATTTCCAGCAAATGTAATGATTACTAACTGAAAATCCCTCCCATTCAACATCTTTCTGGTCCTTATTTAAAGTAAATATGTAATCTCTTTTCTATCAAACTGAATAAAAAACAGTTAATAAATAAATAAACTGAGTCATTTAGTAATCACCAAAGTGTGTAGTATGTATCTTCTTTAGGTGCAGTATTACCCCAATGTAAAGACCCCCTCAACTCAAAAATGTGTTTTTCTTCTGTTTATGTCCCTTAAAATGTCTGACCTTGACTATAAGGACTTGTGTCCGTGCAAAGTTTGTCACTAGAGAGGTGTTTTTTGCACTTGCCTAAAATCTGAGATTCAAACTAGATTAGGTACATCGCTAACACAAATCCCAAGCGCTATCTAAAACACCTATTGATGGGGGAACTTAGACACAACAGCTGCAAAGAGACCTACATGTAAAACCTCCAGCACAGAGCAGAGTTGCCAGTTAGCATAGTGAAAGTTTTGACCGCAAACATGGTAGAGTGTGCAGTTTCTGGATGTAAAGTAGGTCATGGAGCTTAGTGATGTGCGGGTTGACCTACAGCCTACAGGTCCTGCAAGCTGACCTGCGGGTTGGGCAGTATGAGTAAACTTTGTAATAACTATTGTGGGTTTCGGGCAGGTGGGTCATTAACCTCATAAACATTTAAAAGACAAATGAATACTCACTGTCTTCCTACGTTTGTACTTTATAAACAGCAAACACGTTTTATATTGTGATATTTACTGGAAATGACACACAGTATAGCCAATGGCAGATTTCTTCTTATGCTAATGTTACCCATCTTGATGTGCACAGCTCTGTCACCAGTCAACCTGGCGCTTGCAATTACAATTCAATTACATGCACTTACGCTATGCTACTATTTCTCCCGTTGTCAAAAATATTACTGATTGACATTCTGCTCTGGAATCTTAGCTTGCTATGTTTTTTGCAGGGGGGGGGGCAAGGTCTTGGAAATTTGCGCCAAATCCCTGGGTGGCAACAGTCACTCCACATCCCTCAAACTAACCAATTACCAACGCTTCGGTTTTTTTTTTGCTTTATTTTTTGGAGACCTCACTTACTAGATAATGTAATGCACTTATGCATTATAATGCACTTGACTTTAAGCTGCCAATGACTTCACTACTGTACCAACCCAAAGAAGAACTTTACTAGTAACGCTCAAATTGGTGGACGCAGGCGGTGAGTACAACAGCTTTATTACTTCTACAATGGTGTTTAATGTAGTTTAATGTTTGTGTAACACAGGATTCTGGACAAACGTGTTGTGTGTAAGTGTTGGTGTGCAGCGTTGGGCAGTAGCAGCACCACAAGTAGCGACGTTACGAATTTAACTGTATTTCTCAGTAACATCACTACTTTCTGGGTCAAATAGCTTAATTGATCGCTAACTGATCGAGTGACACGCTAGTGTCCATAAAAATTTCAAGCTTCTTTTCCCAGGAAAAGCTCTGAAATGCAGCAGACTTTTTTCCGCAGAGGTCTGGAAAAAAGTACCCAGTGAACACCAGCCGGGATTTTGCGTTGATTTCTAGTTGAAAAGTGGTTGATATTCGGTCTGAACATTTCAGCCAGCTAAAATGTGGGTCAAAATTACAGATTTGTTGAATTATTTTCAGAGTTTGCTCAGTTGTGGGTCAAAGGGACACAATACTGATTAACGTGTAAGGTATTTCTCCAAAGTCATGGGTGAAATGTAGTCTACACGAAGATGTAGTTTCACCTTTATTCACGTTTAATATAAATGTCATAAATATGGAACTATGTAGTCTGTGTGCTGCCAGCAAGAAGCTGTCAGGACAGTTTCAGTTTTAGATCTGTACATTCTACATCATGTAAAATATCCTAACTTGCGCTTGCTGCTGTAATGCGCATGCGCAAGTATTTTGCCGTTACAGCTTTGACTAGTTCAAAGGTACAGACGTCTTGCGGCCAACTGGGACTCTCAGACCGAGGAGATGGAGCAGATGGAAAAAACGGGAGTCTCCACGCTACCTACATACTTTGTAAGTACCTGTGCTACTGTATTTCAATAAAACAAACAAGAAATTAGCATTGCTAGTTTAATTTAAGGCCTCTCACGATGCGCTAGGCTGCCGTTGTGCCAAGCTAGCTTGTTGTTAGCATGCTAGCTTGTAGCATGCTGGACTAATGGTAAACATAGATGCTGCCAGACTATTTTCGGTGTGTGTGTGTGTGTGTGTGTGTGTGTGTGTGTGTGTGTGTGTGTGTGTGAGAGATATAGATAACAGTGCAGTGTTATATATGTTTAATTATTAGTTGTGTATTTCATACTGCAATTACAGAGAGTAGGCTACAGTTATGCACAGAGATATGTATTAAAGCCCTGATGGACATTCACCCTCATTTGCTCAGTGAAAATACTTTTTAATACTTTAAAGGTTTAAACAGGTTAAAAAAGGCACTTAAATTGGTGAAAAGTTGTTCAGATTTTTTTTTTTTTAATTATGGAGTATTTGTAGACATTGATTGAACGGTAACATTGACACCATATTTCACAAAGATTTTCAATATTAAAGTCCATGTAAAGCAAATTCTGCTATTTTCTTCTAAACACATTAAATAGGTCATAAAAGTATTCCTCAAAATGTGTAAAAAAGCCTTTCAACCATTTACAGTTGAATTGTGGAGCTAGGCTTCACAAACTGTGTCTCTAGGTTTCTGTGTTCTGGATTTAGCGGGCGGGCCTTAAATCATAGCCGTGTTAGGTAAGGGAGCTATCCCTGCTACAAACACGCCCCCTGAGGCTGTAGTAGTATAAATAGAGGGAATCACCTTGTTGTTTACAAATACTTCCGGGTAGAAAACCAGCAGAGTTTAGCTATATATATATAGCTATAAGCTCTGCTGGTATATATGTATCTCACATTTTTCACGTCACTATATCACCGTTTAGACTAATCTGATGTTTGTAAAGTCTTTAAACACAATAATTGAACAAACATTACTATTTCTGTGTCCACGTTTTGTAATTCATAACATGGTTATTGTAAATTAGCTGGGCTAACCGTTAGCTGTTAGCCGTTAGCCGTCAGCAGTGTCTGTGATAACTCAGTAACTCAATAAACGGTCCGTGAAAAAAATATTTTTTCCAGTGGATATCTTAGTTACAACATGATTGAGCTAGCAAAGCAGTTTTGTGTTGCTATGTGTAGTATTTATTCAGTTTTGGGAAATCACGATGTCTAGAAAACATCAGTGGCTGCAGCTGACAGGGACAGCTAACTGCAGCAGCAAAGCTAACATCAGGACGTCATCTGTTAAAAGCCTCCCGTTGTCGAATACGACATGAAACTACTCCAGTTAGCTCAATCATGTTGTAACTAAGACATCTGCTGGAAAAAATATTTTCAGTCAGTGAAGCCGGGCCGACACTCTCCCTCCCTGGATTACATCCTCCCGTTCCTGCGGCTGCAGGTACGGGGTTACATCCTTGTACAGTACACGGAGGCAGCTTCCCTCCCGCGAGTGGGCGTGGACTGAATGGCTGCAGCCTGCAGTCATGAGACAAGAAGCTGGAGACATACCCCTCCGGACACGCCCCCAGCGTTTCACAGCAGAGAGAAGTGCTTGTTTTTCCATTATTTTGAGAGCTAATTTTATATACTTAGCGACTTTTTTAATCTTTCTAATTTGGCTCAGTGATTAATGACACATATTTCTGTGATGTGACAAACTTATACATTTTTTGCTGCTTTACACAGACTTTAACTTTCAACTGAGAAATTTGATTCTTAGGCTCCAAAATGATGATAGACTATTATTTGTACACTGTAATGATGAAGCTTGGTGAAATATGGTCATTACTGTCACTGATTTAAGTGCCTTTTCAACCTCAAAATGCTCAATAAGTGTTGAAATAAAAAAAGTATTTTCACTGAGCAGAGGGTGAATGTCCATTTGTTTCCAATGAGCCAACAAATACAAATGAACACCAATGAGCTGAAATCAACTTAACCATCTTTGTTCAACACCCCTTTTTTGCACAGGCAATTTAATAGGTAGTCTTTGTCTGAGAATGCGGTCAAGTTCGAGACAAGACTGAGACCTTCAAAAAGTGGTAAAACACTGGTACACATACAGTATTTTAAAGTGGTTCACAACTGTATTCACTTAAAAAACTAGGCAAGGCAAGGTAAGTTCATTTGTAGAGCACAATTCGTACACAAAGTAATTCAAAGTGCTTTACAGAACAAGAAAATGCATTAAAATCACAATACAAAATAAAAACATAAATAATCATTATAAAATTATCTTTAAAAGAGAAGAGTGCAGATAAGATCCTTTCAGTCATATGTACAGTGAAATAGAGCTGTTTTGAGCCTAGATTTGAACATTGTCAGAGTAGAGGCCTGTCTCACATCTTCGGAAAGACTGTTCCAGATTTTAGCTGCATAAAACTGGAATCCTGATTCCCCATGTTTAGTCCTGACTCTGGGCACCAGCAGGAGGCCAGTCCCTGAGGTCCTCAGAGTTCGAGATGGTTCATATGGCACTAACATGTCAGAGATGTACTTTGGTGCTAGGCCTTGGAGATACTTTTACACAAGCAGAGCTGCTTTAAAGTCTATTCTCTGAGCCACAGGAAGCCAGTGTAGAGACCTGAGCACAGGACTAATGCGCTCGTACTTCCTGGTTCTGGTCAGGACCCGAGCAGCAGCATTCTGGATGTACTGCAGCTGTCTTACAGCTTACTACTCACATTTCAATTTGGTTTCATGTTCAACCAATCCCAAGTTACTATAGTTTTAGTTTACTTACATTTATAGTAGCAGTTTAGATGATAATCTCTCAGTTGTCAGGTGGTGGGTTAGGGTGGTGGATCTTGGCTTTAATGTAGCCTGCTGATGCATTGAAAAGCCACTTTGTCCTTGTACCGTCTCACTGATGGAAGTTAAGGCGCTTTGTGTCCCAGTTTGCAGCTCCAGATATAATCTTTGAATGAAAAGAAATCTGAGTAGCTGCAGGGCACGTCTTTAAACGTCATGTGGTACTCTCCCTCAGCTCTTCAACTGAAAAAATAACTAACTACATCCTGGTTCATGCACCCTGGCTATTCACCTGTGGGCTCATTTCTCATTTTATCATCGGTCCATTTATCCTTTGTAAACTAGCAAGGCATTGTCTGTGTCACCAGTGTTTGCCAAGAGTGACCATCCCTCTTTGTTCATAATACAGGACTTATTATTTTACCCATTATGTGTGAGGCTGGTGACCTGGATATTGATGTGTTATCATTTCTGTCAGGATTCCGTGAAACATAAGGTTTTAAAAGGATAAAAGAAGAGGATCAAGTTTCAAACTCTGCAATGAGTCTTCCACACTATGTTTGTGCATCCATCCTGACATGTTTCGAATCAAGATCTCGCTTTCACACACACACACACACACACACACACACTCACACACACACACACACATTCCCACGGGAGTAAATATCAGAGGGATTGTTGTTATGCCATCAAATAGATTTTCAATTCAATTTTATTTATAAAGCCCAGCATCACAAATCACAATTAGTGTCAGAGGGCTTTATAGCATACGACATCCCTCTGTCCTTGGACCCTCACACCGGATAAGGAAAAACTCCCCCTTTAGCATGTGCGCGTGTGTGTGTGCATGGACTATATAAGCCACGTGGTGGGCTGTCTGGTGTCACCTACGAGAGAGCATCCGGCAGCATGACCTCCCAGCGATGGATGCTGGCATTCTGCTTTTCACTGGCCTCAGGTACAATGCAGCTGTTAATTTAATCATGTATATATGATTCAATTCTTGTAAGCAGAAAAAACATTTACTCAGTAACTGTATTTAAATACAAACTCGAGGTATTTGTATTTTCCTATTTCAATTTCATTCTACTTTATACTTTTACTCCATAACAATTCAAAAAGAAATAGTCATTTTTATTCCACTACATTTATTTGAAAGCTTCTAGTTACTTTTTACTTTACAAATTAAAAATTTACACACAAAACTATCTGGTATAACAACATTCTGCTATATCCAAAGTATTTGTGTTATTATTCATGATTTTTGATTATGATTAATGTTTTCCTCCACCTTGTATTTCTCTCCTAGTTTTAGACACAGGAGAGTCAGTCACAACAACAGGAATTAAGAAATGTGAGTATAAACCAGTCAGTGTTGAATCTCGATCAATTTGTTATAAATTGTTATAAAATTACTTTGTACCTTTTTCATATTGTTTCAGCTTTTCTGAAACTAAGTCTGTTTTATTGTTTCACTTTTTCATATAATTTCTCTGTATATTACTGATATATTGTTTAATTGTTTCTGTTGTCAAATATTTTATGTTACTTGGTTCAGTTCATTCTTGAAGTTTTATAGACGTAAAATAATAGTCGATCGTGTGGCTTACTGATTTTAAAATGGTAGTCTTAGAAATCTTATCATATATTATAAAGCCAAAAAAATTACCTAATTTTTCACAATTGGAGGGATAGTAATGTAAAAGTAATTCAAAGTTATTGCATTTCAATATTGAGTTCTGAATTGATTACTGAAAGGATGGTATAGCTGATTACATTTAAACATTTTAACAGTAACTTTTTAAACTCTTAATCTAACATAACAAAAATAATGAGTTGATTTATTGATTTATTATACATTCAGTCACATGTTCATATCCTGGCATTAATCTGTAAATTGTGATCAGACACTTGCAGGACATTTGGCAGCGGGGTCGTCCAGCCCTTCAACGGTTCAAGTTTCTATGTTCGGTCCAACTGCCCGTTCACCCTCACCCGCTTCACACACAACCGGGTGGAATGTGATATCACCTTACGGCGAGGTGACAACGGGCTGCTGGACCAAGTCGAGATCATCATCAACAAAGTGAAGACCGTTGTGCAGAGTGGAAGCATCATGGTGGAGAAGAAAAGGTTTGGGCCCAACACTAATCCACACTGATACTGTTTTATTAACTGCAACCACATAGATACGGAAACATATTGATACCATCACAGAAAAAAAACTGATCAGTACAAGGTAATAATGTGAAAAGTTTATTGTTATAATGAGATGTCTTTTACATTAAAATGAGAAATTAATATTTAAATGAGGAAACTGGGATATCAGTGTAGGCCTAAAGGACACATATCACATTATCACCCAGCGCAACAATAAAAGCAAAATCTCACCATGTTCAACCAAAGCATTAAGTGAAACTTAGTCATTAATTTCCCACTAAACAATACGTTGAATGGTCACATTGTAACAAGAGACATTTCACATTAAAACAATAAGTGATCACGTTAGAACATGAAAATATCATTTTAAAATGTGAAAAGCATCTTGTTATAACAATAAACTTTTTATGTTATCACCTGATACAGATATTTTTTTTCCTGGCATGGCAGCAACACATTTCCATAACCAAAAAATGACTCACTCAAAGTTTGAGATCCCCTGAGACTTTGTGTGCTTACATAAAAATTTATAATCCCATTATTCACCCACACAAACTCCAGTAAAAGTGTGAGAGAGTGGTGAGTTTTGCCAAATGGCATAAATTAATCACTTCAGTGGCATTTGTACTCAGCCAGGTGGTTGACAGTTTCATGCAGTCTTTATCTTTTAACTTGTCAACTGGATGTTTTCAGATACAATACCAATTTTTGTAGTATTTTTTTAGTATTTTTTTAATTAAATGTTTCTAGAGCAGCAACAGTAATATTAAAACAGCAAAGTAACAATATACTGTAGCTTAATATCTCAAAAAACAAAAACAAAATGTCAATGAAATAAATCAAATTCCTGACATCACAATACTGAGTGAAGTTTATAAAGAATAAAGAACACAGACATCAATCAGTATCAGTTCCTCCCTCTGCTGCTGAGGAGAGTCATTGCCTGATTTAATCATGAAGCGATTATTTTAACCCAGCCTTGACAGTGACTCAAGAAATAGCATTAAATCACATACAAGTTAAACAGTCTTGCCTAGCCTGTATAGCTGTGATAATACTATGCCCAGCTGTTACATTACCAATCCTTGAATGGATGGAAGAAAGAGTTGCTTTGTGTTGTGCTGCTTTTGTTAGCCGGCAGAAGAAGGCTGTAAGGGGCTGTGGTTCCAGGTGCAGTCTTTGTTGTGTCCCTCGTTCCAAAGGTGCAGATCCGAGGAAGCCGGTTGCTCAGGGTCCATGCAGAGTTAGTTAACTTGGTTCTCCTTGTTGCTGGAAAGTTAGTGTTCAGAACTCTAACTTCTTTGGTTTCAGGTTTTGTTCCTGCTGTGAGTGAGGGCAAGTCTTGGTCCAGGAGAATAAGAACTTAAGTCTGTAGATGAGAAAATTTGCTGTTTATCTTTTTAATTATTTTAATGATTTTGATCGATTCAATTGTTTTACATTTTATTCACTGGTTGTACTTATGTACTTTTAGTCATATTTTCAATGCAGAACCTTAACTTGTAACATCATTACAGTGTGCTATCAGAACTTTTACTAAAGTACAGGATTGCAGTACTCCCTCCACCTCTGTTGATATCCCTGTGTGTTTATTTTTTGACAGTGTTTCCCTTCCATATGACCACACCTACCAGCATATCTTTCAGTACGGCATCTACACCAGACTGAGGAGCTCGCTGCTTCCACTGTCTGTCACCTGGCACAGTGTCCCCGGGGGAATAGACACTATGTGGGTGAGTTGATTTGAGAGCAGAAACACAGACACAATTCAATTCAGTTCAGTTCAATTTTATGTATAAAGCCCAATATCACAAATCACAGTTTGCCTCAGAGGGCTTCACAGCATATGGCAACCCTCTGTCCTTGGACCCTCACAATGGAAAAGGAAAAACTCCTCAAAAAAAAAACCTTTAACAAACATAATTCATCATGATCCTAAGTTAACTGGAATATTCACAGTTAGTTCTGTACTGCAGAGCACTAACATCACTGACTGATGCCTTTTTAAAAATATGTTAAGGTGGAGGTGGAGCAGGAGCTGAGCACTGGCATGACTGGACTGTGTGGAAAACACAATGTCACAGGTATGTTTTATAAACCACTGGAATTCACAGCAGAGTTGTAGTACAAAATAGCAGAGGTGTTTTAAAGGCAGAAGGATATTAAAGGCAGTAGATGACTTTTATATGAAATTGTAAGCTCTGTTAAGCTGTATGTGTGTATGATACATTTAAATGAAGAGAACAAATGTCAAATGAATGCTAATATCAGTATTTCTAGTCATCCTTATAATAAAGCTGATCATATAAATGCACAACCTGTTTACACTAACTTTGATATTTGTTTCTATGGAAGCCCATTTCTGCTAATGTGATGAAAAAAATTACATCCTGTAAGTAATTTTAGTATATATAGCATTTTAAAATAGTAACGAGAAACCATCTCAAAAATAACGACTTAGTATACCTAAACCAATGACTTTGTATTTCAAAAATAGTGGCTTAGTACTATAACTTTTCTCAAAATGATGAATAAGTATCCCGAAATAATAACAGCTGCCCTAATTGGTCAGTCCATCTTGCACACGATTGCAGATCCGAGTATAGAAATCATCTCAAGTTAGGGTTTGTGTGTCATTCATTTAACGACCTCGTAGGAATGACCAGGTGCTGATAAATGTGGTGGCTGAGAACAGTCTTAATTTACATAGCCCGCCCCGGTATATTCTTGGTTTAGAGGCCTCGCCCTGAGAGTTTATGGCATGGAGAGAAGTGCCAGTATCTCTTAACAGTGACTTACTTATCTCGAAATATTAACAATATCTCAAAATAATGACTTAATATCCTGAAATAATGAGACACTTTCTCAATATTTTGCCTGAGACCTATCATCACTAAGTTATGAAAAACACACAGGCCTATGCAAATGTTGAGAATCGTACTTAGCGAAACCAAGTGATTATTTTGAGATGATAAGTAATTATTTTGCAACACTAAGTCATTATGTTGATATACTAAGTGATTCTTTTGAGAAATTAAGTCATTTTTCATTACAATGACTAACAGGATCTTTGTTTTCATCACATTGGCAGAAATGGGCTTCTATATTTTGCATACTATTTATAAAAACAAAAACACTTTTATATTATGAAATTAGACAACAAGCAGCAGCTGATTCAGGAGAGCGTGCTCGCCAAGGACACATGTCAAATCCGAGATCCTGTTTCTGCTGTGAATACAGTAAGTTAACTGTTGCCATAACTGATTCATTTAAAACACACTTGAATGGATGTTGTGATGATACTAGATTCCTATGTATTTTATTTTTTTTCACTTAAGCCTATCAAACTCATTGGAAAGAAAGACATGTTTTGAATTCATTGACACCTCTGGCTCTTAGTTTATAAGTTATTAGGTATAGACTTTATGGGTTATCATGTCAAATTTAAAATACTGGGTCTCATGCAGGAAGTAATAGATGAACAAATTTTCTCTTATTTTTGTTTGTTTCCACGATTTGTTCCCTTTTTGTTGGTACCTACTGATTTCTGGGATTGACCAATGTTTTCTTATTTTACCAAGATAAGACTTTAGTTAGTAGTTGCTTTACAAGTAAAGTTTTTTGCACACAAACTATATAAAGATATAAAAGTACAGCTGAAACGATTAGACGATTGATTAGAAAATTAATTTAAACAGAGTTTTGCTGCTTTTCCTTTTTAATTTTTTTAAATTATTTTGAATGATTTAATTTATTTAAAATCCTGCAGTAACTACTTTCACTTTAAATACTAAGTATTAGAGTATTTGCACACAGCACAACACCTGCCCGTTTATGGTGTTTAGCGGTATTACTTATGCTAATACATGACCTATAATCAAGTGGGATTCATCATGCAGCACACCTGGTAAGAGGAGATTTGGGTGGTTAAGAACGTCTGGTGCATCTGGAGCTGACTTCTCTATTTTCTTCCTCTAAAGGGAAATTTAAGAGAAAATGTGAGAGAAATTTAAGAGAATGTTGCTACATGAGGCCCATGGAAACGTGAATGTCAGACTTCAACAATATTTTTATTCATTCACTTTTTTTGGGGAGTCAATCCATTCAGCTGTGTTTAAACATAAAATGAAGGTTTGAACACTCACACCACACAATATGTCCTAATTCTGAATGTTTCTCTGATATTTGTAGGAATGCAGAATGTTCTTTTCCCACACTTTGGATTGTCTGCAAGCCATGACGCCTCATTATATCCAACTCTGTGAAGAGAACATTTACAGCTATGAAATGAGCAAAGACATCAGCTGTGCTTTCTTCAAAGAAGTTGCCCAACATTGTGGGAACAACAGCTATGTCTGGATGATGTGGAGAGATACAACCAAATGTGGTAGGTGCTCTTTAAGCCCTTAAAATCCAGCTTTCCCCTTTATTTTGTCACTTTAATTTTTGAAAAATCATTTTCTCACAGTCAACTCCTTGGTGAAGTGACATCACATTTACACTGAGTGAATATTGAGTCTTTCGTTAAATCAACAGTCCAGTTGCCAAAAGAAAATGCTAACCATGAACATGTTACATTCTAATGCTTCATACATATCATATCAACATTTCTAAAGCGATGTTGTATATGAGCTGACTGTCATCTTGAGGTGGAGGGAATGATGGATACTTGCCAGTTGTTTTACCAAGACATTGTGTTTCCTGCTACATGCAAATATAATGTATCTGTGGTTTGCAGAAATGTACAATGCCGACATTTTTTCTGCCTGACATATTTTAGTATTCCAGACTTTGGGATTCACACTATGACTGAGAATAAAGTTCTGTGATTTGCTGTGTTTGCCACATGTGTTTGTGCTTACAGGGGTTTACATGATTATAACTAGATTTTAAAGTTTTTGGCTTGAATTTAAGTTTATACACTAATTTGATGAACACTTGATGTGATTGCCTGTTTCTGTTTTGCAGTGAAGCCAAGTTGTCCAGGAGACCTGGTTTATGTAGAACAGGGCGCAGCCTTTGCTCCCAGCTGCTCCAGCCAAAACCTCACATTCTCCAACCAGGAACTCACTAGCTCCTGTGTCTGCCCAAAGAGTGAGCACTATCTGGCTTCACGATGTAGCTCTTCACTTGTTGTTTCATTGCTTGTTTAGGCTATATGATCCTTATTATAAAGGTATACTAATTTGTGTTGTAGGTACGGTGCTTAATGATCATGCGGATGGCTTCCACTGTGTGAGTGTGTCCAGCTGCTCCTGTGTATTTGCTGGCCAGACCTACTCAACCGGAGACATGCGCAGCACCAAATGTCAGTCATGGTAAGCAAGAAAAAAACTGATTTGGCACTGAGGGAATATCCATGAATTACAAATGTCTACTTGGGCTTAATGAAATGAGCTAGTTTGATTTTTTCAGTTAAAGTTTCGTCATCATTTTTTTCCACAGTGTGTGTGACAGTGGGAAATGGCGATGCTCTGAAAACTCCTGCCCACCCACATGTCTCATTGAAGGGCAGTTTGTAACAACATTTGACGGCAAACAATATGCCGTCCCTGCCAAATGCACATATTTGGCTTCTCTGGTGAATTTTTCCCACTACCCCAACATGTGCCATTAACCTATGTTGACTTTTTATGATACTAATGGCTGTGTTGTTCTTTAAGGGTCTCAACTGGATGATAATAATCAAGTTTTCTGCAGAGGCACCCTTCCTGGAAAAAGTTTATCTTGTACTTTTTCAGGTACAAGCAGTCTTTGAGAGTTGAATCTAAAATAATGTAATCTATTAAACAAATGCCAAGCCACAGAAGTGAACAGTCAGTGAATATAAATGCTCTTCTTTTTTGGATTTGCAGGAAATATATGTATTCACAGACAACAAGGTGATGTTCCATGGGGGGGAGATCACTCAACTTCATGAGTCTGGTAAAAAACAATTGTTGTCCACTTTATCTGTTCACGATTCCTTTAATGTAACCTATAGCCTAGTAATTCATCCATAATGGCTTGGTTACCCACCCACCAGCTCACTAACCACTCTCTGTCACCTATCAGAACATGCTTTGGTTTTCTGGCAGTCCTCCATGTACGTCCACGTCCACACATCCTTTGGTATGAAGATGGAGGTCCAGATGTTTCCTGAAATCCAGCTGTACCTCAACCCACCCACAAACCACTCAGGCTCGATTTTGGGTTAGAATTTTAATCGATAAAGAAGACAGAATATATTGGCATTCCCTTTTGGATACACAATTATTATGGCTTTTATTTGTTTTGTTTTTTTCTGATGAGCTTTTAAGACCAAAAAAAGTGTGTGTGTGTGTGTGTGTGTGTGTGTGTGTGTGTGTGTGCGCATGCGTCTGTGTTCCAAACAGTAAACAGTTAACAAAACAAAAAAAAGAGACAAATTTAAAAAATAATTGTAAGACATTGTACCATAAAAAATGGTATTAAAATGGAAATTGTACTTTAAAAAATTGTAATTTTAAAACTATTGTACAATACAAATATACAAAAAAAATTTATAAAAGAAATTTTAACACAGAAAATTGTCCTATAAAAGAAATCTTACTATAAGAAAATTGAACTATAAAACCATTTCACTATAAATGCACTATAAAAACTGCACTGTAAAAAAATTGTAGTATTAAAAATTGTATTATATAAGAAATTTTAACATTAAAAAAAAATACCATAAAAAAATTACGATAAAAAATAGTGTACTCTAAAGATTTGTATGAGAAAAAATGTACTATGAATTTTTAAAAAATATTTATATATATATATCTAATCATAGACAATGTTTCCTTCAGGTCTTTGTGGCAACAACAACAATGACACTACAGACGACTACACCACCAGCAGCGGGATCATCGAGAACTCAGCTCAGCCTTTTGCTCAGTCCTGGAGTTCGGTTGCTTGTACAGGGAACATGCCCATCTGCATTAACACTGACAATGGTACCAATAAATGTTATAAGTGTGCTTGTAAAATGTTGCAAATGGTTGGATAAAGTCACACACAGTATTTTATTGTCTTCCTGAATTCTGCGTATAATGGATGAAACGTTTTAATAGATAGAGAACAATTGGTACATTTTTATATTTGAACTCTGAAATTTGCTTACTAGCTTGCTTGCCTCTCAGTGATATGATACAGATTCTTCAGCCACAAGAAAATATCATATATCAATATGTATTTTTGCAGAAATATTTGCTGATGAAAAGTGCTCCGTGTTGAACGATCCAACTGGGATATTTGCTAAGTGCCACGATCATATCCCAAGCGATCACTACCACATGGTAACATGACTTTTGCACCAAAATAAATCCTCAAAATGTTTTACTGTTATTAACAATTGACATATCAATGAGCTACCCTTGTTAACATGAAACTGTTTTTATTTCCAGGCTTGCATCCTAAAAACGTGTAACTGTGGCAGCAGTCTGCAGCAGTGCCTGTGTGTTGCTCTGGGCAACTATGCCAAAGCCTGTGCCAGTCTGGGTGTTGTAATTGGTAACTGGAGGGCAGCCACCAACTGCAGTGAGTTCAGTACAAACAAATATACAGCTTACTCTGTCTGCAACCCTGTGCTATACTAAATGTTAATCATAATATTGTGTCACAGCTTTGACATGCCAGAAGAACCTTGAATTCTCCTACAACATGCAAGCCTGCAACCACACATGCCGCTCCCTGTCTGGTCCTGACCCTCGATGCGGGCTGGATGATGCTCCTGTGGAGGGCTGTGGCTGTCCAGAGGGAACTCACCTGAACCAAGGACACACCTGTACCCCAAAAGCAGAGTGCCCTTGCCACTATTATGGTGGTACAACGCCCCCGGGTACTGTTGTTATTGACGGACAAAAGTGGTGAGTTAATCATCTGAGTATTTACAGCCATTTAAAACTTTACTAACATTTATCTTAAAGAAGTCCTATTATGCTCATTTCAGGGTCATATTTGTAACACTGGGGTCTTGTGGAATAGATTTAGGTGCTTTAATATTCAAAAAACACATTGTAGTTCTTTTACTGCCCATTTGTGCAGCACCTCTGTCTGAAACGCTGTGTTTGGGCTTATGTCCAGTCTCCCCAGCAGCCCAGTCTGCTGTGATTGCTGCAGGGCTTAGAGTGTGTATTGGAAACGTCACGCCCCTTCCCTTAACTTATCTTGTGATCACAGTAATTAACGCAAAGTCAACGAAAGTCCACAATATTTGCAGGGGGCTTTCAATTTTTCAAAAGTCCCGCAATTTTTCCCCGTTTTTCCGCATTTTCCGGCCGACCGGAAGTTATCGTGCATGCGACATCATTTGAAACGTCATCACACACGTCGTCAAACCACGCTAATGGCATTGCAGTATGGAGAAACGCTCTGTATTGCCATAAGAATTTGCACTGTTTAAATATGTGTTGAATGTATTAAAATGTAATGTTTGCAGAAGGTGTAGCTTACATGTTGTTTTTACAGTCACATTGTGTGGTTTGAGAGCTAAAATATTCACTCAGGATTTTTTGCAACATTATTGGAGTCCATGTTTTGAAACTAATTAAATAAAACTAAAGAAGAGAACTATAAAAAACATTTGCAGCTATTTTTGAAATATTTAGTATGATTATTATAGCAAGTGATTACATGACTTGTTTTTTGGAGGTAGTAGTTTAAAAAAAATCTATAAAGATTTTCTTCTTTTGTCATTAGCAGCAATTTTTGTCATTTGCCGCAATTTCCCGTAAAAATCCACATAAAAATGTCGCAATTTTTATTTTTTTAAGATTATTTGTTCGGGCTTTTGCCTTTAATTGACAGGAAAGAATGAAATGGAGTGAGAAAGAGTGGGGGGATGACATGCAGCAGATGATTGTGAGCTGGAGTCGTACCCGCGACCGCTGCAGTGAGGCATCGCCTCTGTATATGGGGCGGTGGCACTATCCACTACGCTACCGACGCCCCTTTATCGCAATTTTTGACAAAATTGGCCACGGCTCTTAACTCTTTTTTGCCGCGAAATACTGGAGGGACTGATATGATGTACACATACTTGAGCAAGTTGTGTTAAAAATGTGTATGTTTCAGCATCTGTGAGAATGGAGAGCTGCAGTGTTCTGCTGATTGTGGTAAATGTGTATTCTTTTCTCATTATCATATTAACCTAATCCTTTTTTTTCTCTGCTCTGTTGTTTTTAACTTCATTTGTTAATAGTGAAAAATCAAATAGAATTTTAGCAATAACCTCAGTTTCTGCAGAAAAAAAAAATACGAAAAAGCTGACATAGTGTCAGAGTATCTGAAATATAACTAACACACTCATATGTTTTCTGTATTTAATGATTGTTTGCATCAGGATGCAGAAATGGGAAGGTTTGTGTTCACTGCTTGAAGGACCCTGTTAGCACATCTCAGAAAACTTGTGACAACCTCAGCAAACCAAGGGTAGGTCAACAGATGTTTAAACATGCAGCTTTCCATTGTTCATATATCATTATTCATTTTTCTTTTCACATCAGCTGCTAACATGTTTGTTAAAACTAATTTAATAAAGTTTATTTTATGAGCGTTAAGAGAACATAGTCTATTTTTGTGGTACTGGGATGATGCTTTTATTTTGACTGAAATCTGTCATTTTCTATTTACGTAAACTTCCTGTCAGTGAATTGCGGCCCTAACATTCACGCTTTGTCCCAAAACTTTTATTGTGATACGTCAAACATTTCCTCGATCTAAAAGATTTTCCTTTGATGTGATTTCCAGAGTGTCAATATGACATGCCAGAGTGGCTGTTACTGCCCACCTGACCAGTATGAGGATCACCATGGCAACTGTGTTTCTCTGGACAACTGCACCTGTGTGTACAGCGGCAAAGTGTTCAGTGCAGGACAGCACGTCAAAACCAACTGTAAAACATGGTAACACCTGCATTAGTGCTGCTTTCCTACACGTTCATTCAAAAAGTGCTATTCCTCCAAAAGCTAATACAGCTGAGATGGAAAGGCTGCTTAACTAACTGATACTGTCTCACAGTATCTGTGGTCATGGTCGGTGGCACTGCAGAGACGAGCCCTGCCCCGGGAAGTGTCAAGTTTACGGAAACGGACACTACCAGACCTTTGACTCCAAGTGGTACCGCTTTGATGGACAGTGTCAGTACACTCTTGTAGAGGTGAGACCAAACATGAAAATGGGGGTCACATGTTTCTTTCCTGAAGCCTTGATGGCGAGCAAGGACGCAAAACTTTATTTATATAGCACATTTGAATCCAGGTGGAAGCACACTATAATGCATAACGCGTGAGCTACCACAGAGGTTGCAGCTAGAATAGTGGGTAGTGTGAAAATAAAACATTAGACATAATTGAACGCAGGTAAAAGAGACAAATAATACAAGCGAGGTAGCAATCATAAAAATAACAATAATTAAGATCAACAACTGACCAGTAAGAATTAAACTTTAAAACCATTTTAAGAAATATGAAAAAAATTGCATTCAGTCATAATTTAGACCAGCACTTGGTTAATGAAAAATATTCAGACACATGAGTTAAAATCAATAAGAGTAGTAAAAATAAGATAAAAGTATCGCTGCAAGCTACGGTTCCAGTGTTAAAGCCAACATGGACTGTTAAAACTTGAATGAATGAATGAATGAATGACTGACGGATGCCCATTCATGTATGACCAAATCTGTGCTGGGCCACGGTCTTTTTAACCCCCTGTGGTTCAACTGTGAAAGCATTCTGGGGACATGCTTAAACAGCTTAGTTAAAAATACCCACCAAATGTGGTGATGTTTGGACAAACTGTTGTTGATTTATGGCTGAATTTTGCATCCAATGCACTTGTTTGGTGCTTACTCTCAAAGAAATGTAATGAATTTGCCAGATACTTTAAATATAAAATTTCCAATATCAGGAATTAAATTGTGGCTTCCTCTGTTACCGCTTTTCTCCCATTCAGTGCCATACTGCTAGCACTCTTTCTAACTTTGCCCTGATTCAATCTAGTGAGATACAAGATGTGGTGCAGCAGCTCGGTTCTGCAACATGTGCTCTTAACCCAATGCCTACTAATCAAAAGTGTTTTTAGCTGTCTAGTGGAGGATGTTCTTGAGATTGTCCATGCCTCCCTACATTCTGGTATCTTCCCCTCGTCTCAAACATGCTATCGTAACACCACTGTTAAAAAAGAATTATCTTGATCCATATGTTTTTGAGAATTACAGACCAATGTCAAACCTTCCATTTTTGGGGAAAATTCTAAAAAGAAAAAAAAAGGTTATTTACAATTTGCTTGATATTGTCTGGTTTTAGAGTTAACCACAGTCCCAAACTGCCCTGGTCAGAGTTGTTAATGATCTTAAAATTAGCATTGACAATCATAATGTTTCTGTTCTGGTACTCCTTGACCTTAGTGTAGCATTCGATACTGTGGACCATATTCTTCTTCTTCAGTGCCTTGAACACTGTGTAGGCCTTAAAGGCACTGTTCCTCAGTGGTTTTCTTCATATCTCTCAGGAAGATCGTTCTCTGTGTCTGGTGGTAATTGTAAATCTGATGAGTTTGGCATTCCATATGGAGTCCCTCAGGAGTCAATTCTTGGTCCTTTGTTATTTAATTTGTACATGCTCCCACTTGGGTCCATAATACAGCAATATAATATTTCATATCAATCATATGCCGATGACACACACAACAATGTGGTTTTTGCTATTCATTCACTCTTTGGATGAACTGTACACCACTTTGGTCAACCGAGGTTGTTTTTAAATGTGCTATATAAATAAATTTTGACTTTGACTTTGACTTTGAATAACGTTAGTGGAGTAAATGACCTCATCCAGTGCATCTCAGTTATCAGACTTTGGATGGTGAAGATTTTTTTTTTTTACAGCTTAATCATGACAGAACAGAGATTCTGTTAGTAGGATCAAAGGCTTTGAGGAATAAAATTCAGTCGTTTTTAACTCCTCTGTCTGTAAAGCCATATGAGCATGTCAGAAACTTGGATGCGATTTTAGACAGCGATCTTAACTTCCAGAAACACATCTCTAATATTTCTAAGACTGCCTTTTTATCACCTCAGAAATATATCAAAAGTTAAATGCTTTTTGTCTCAGTCAGACTGAAAATCTGGCTTGTGTTTTCCAGTAGGCTGTATTACTGTAAAGCACTCTTTTAAATCGTTTTGTGGTTTGGCTGTGCCACGCAATTTAGGGCCTTAAATCAAGCATTACAATTTTAAAATCAGTTAGTTCAATTTACTGGGAGCTAGTGTGGCATCCTCAGCAAAAGTGTTACATGGTCATATTTTCTTTCTCTATTTTGGCCTCTAGTACATAGCCTTCAAAGGACACAGTACATCATGCAAATACTTAAGGGCATTTTAAAAAAGAAATATAGGCCATAGCTTGCAGTATTTTTCACAATACACTTTTAACTTTGATCTCATTACTTTAGGATGACTGTGGAAAGGGAAACGGCACCTTCTCTGTGAGAGTGGAGAGTGTGCCCTGCTGTGATGAGGCGCTCACNTCTACTGACTGCGTGACTGGTAGACGGCAGTGGGTGGTGTAACAGGCCAAAACACAAATTCAAGACATAAACATGATTTGCGGACTGTAAAAATGTTTTTTAAATGCGAATATTCTGGCTTTACTGTTGTTGTCGGTGAGATCAGTATGTTATATGAACATTATTCCTTAGTCTCTGTGACATATTAGGAGGATTTTATGACTATTTGCTATATATTTCTTACATATAGCTTCTTTAAATACTGCTAAACGTAAGGGTATGTAAATTTTAAGTGTTATTTTTAATACATTTTAAATAGACTATTAAACCGTCTCTCCCGCAGAACCGTGTGTGCGGCCTCTGTGGTAATTTTGACTCCAATGAGATGAATGACCTTCAGATAAGTGGCTCAGCAGGTAAATTAGTTTTCTCTTTGTGTTACAAAGGACTTTCACTTTTGTCACAGTGGTCAAAATAACACCAAACATCTGTTTTAGTGATGTCCACTCCCCTGGCATTTGGCAACAGCTGGAAAGCCTCCACACCTCCTTGCTCTGATGTGACCACTGAGGTATTTCCATGCGAACGCAACTCCTACTGCTCAGCCTGGGCCCAGCGGCGCTGTAGGATTATCACAGGAGACATATTCAATGAGTGCCACTTAAAGGTATGCATTTTACATATTTAACAACCCACCAATGCCAGGGGTCACTGTTGGACTCCTGTGCAGGTTTTATTTTACCTTTTTTTTTTTTTTTTTTTCCTGTCAAAACTTTGGCTTTTCAAAACAGAGTTACAAAGTGCTTTACAGGGCAATAAATAAAACAGACAAGTCATGAAACAATAGGTTTTAAAAGAAAAATGATACTTTGGTGTGTAAAAACTGAGGAAATAAAAGACCGTTCAAAGGAAATTAAAACTCAAGTAAAATCAGGAAAGGCTCTCTGATAGAAGTATACTTTAAGAAGAGACTTAAAAGAGATCACTGACTCAGCCAACTTGATTTCCTCGGGCAGATTGTTTCAGGGCGTCTGGAACAGACATAATGTCCAAGGATCTTAAAGTATGTCCTGGCGTGTACAGTACCAAGAGGTCAGAGGTATAGCTAGGAGAGAGACCATAAGTATCATGTCCAAGTATTCAGTAATCTTAGAATCTATTCTAAAACATACTGGGAGCCAGCATAAAGAGGCTAAAACTGGAGTGTTGTGGTCACGCCTCTTGGTTCTGGTTAAACGCCAGGCAGCTGAATTCAGTTAATGACGAGAGACAAATAATTTTTGATGCCATTTGAATTGTGCCATGAATTACACATATGACATCTGCCAAATTAAAATATGATTTTGCAAGTCAAGAAGGTTGCAGTTTGTTGTAAAACTGATGAAGTATAAGACCGTGAAAATATGTGATTAGAACAACTAAACAAGTCTCCTCCGCGAAGTCATACCTTCTTCTAGTTGCCTTTGTGTTTTGTGCCGGGATGTAGCCAACTCACACGAGGAACTGGTCTTGCTCGGTCTTGGTCTTTCACTGGATAAAAAACATCAGGTAAGTTACCCTGCCTGCTAGCTAGCTGGGGAAGGTGACATATATTCTGTGAGACGAGAGATGTAGTTTACCGTAGTTTCACACAAAACTAAACAGTACCGCGACAAACCTACAACAAACAAAAATTATGTTTTAGGGACAGGTCACACATGACCAAATGCAAGCACACACAAGACACAGCAACAAACAGAGTCAACCACACATACCTCTTTGCTCTCGGTTGAGGCTGCAACTTCGCCACTCAGAGTTCACCAAAGTTGAACTCCATGTGATGCAAAGATACCAATTTGCTGTACCACTGGAAGTGAATGGTTTATTTGCCCCTCTGTTTTCACTGAAAGCAAACAAATAGGAGGTGAATATTGGCCAGTGTTAATGTGTGACCATACTACGTTCTTAATGACAAACAATATAAGTGTAATTCACAGTTCAAGAGGGAATAAAAATGATTCACCTCTATTTACATTAATAGGCCTTCACGGAAAGCCCTTAAATGCGTTATTGAAACTCTTTTCTGGATGTTCTACAATCTACAGGTGGATCCAGATCCCTACTATCAGGTCTGTGTGCAGGAGTCCTGCTCCTGTTAGTTTGAAGGGAAGTTCCTGGGCTTCTGCACAGCTGTTGCAGCCTATGCAGAGGCCTGCAGCGACAAGGATGTGTGTGTAAAATGGAGAACACCTGATTTGTGTCGTAAGTCGTGATGTCGTTTAAGTTTACTTTCTTGATTAAACGTTGAATAACACGGTATATACAGTACATTGCAGAAAATTTAAAAGTAAATACCCATCCATCTAATGTCTCTGCTTCGTATTTTACATAGTTTATACACTTTATATAATGTTTTATCAATATTTAAGTATTTCTTTGTAATTGTGACTGACACTGTGTAAGACACATCAGTGATCAGTCTGTGTAGCTAACAGTACGTGTGGTAAAAAGTGTGTCATTATTGTTGTTTACAAAATATGAATCATGAACATAACTTGGTCTGATCAATTTAACGTGATTATTTAAACTTAGCGGTCTACTGTGACTACTACAATGAGCAAGGCCAGTGTAGCTGGCACTATGAAGCCTGTGGTGAGATGCTAACCTGCGGCAAAGACACCAGCACTCACAAGCTGGAAGGTAATCAGACTTTCTTAGTTGTTTTCAAACAAAAGATAAACTTCTGTCTTAATCATCAGTTGAATCCAGTGAAAATGAAAAATAATGTCTTAATGTTACTTAGCTTGTATCATTCTGTCAGTACTGCAAACAAACCTGGCCTCAGAATAACATCCTCCCAATTCAGATATTTATTGAATAATTTGACTTTTTTTTTTCTTGTCAATACTTCTAAAATCAATTTGCACCCATAAAATAACAATTGTGTTTATTCTCGGAAAGGTTGCTATCCCAGATGTTCAGAGGAGACGCCGTACTATGATGAAAATACTGGTGAATGCACCAAATTGAAAAACTGCACTTGTTATTTTAATGACACTGTCATTCAGCCTGGAGCAGTGGTGATGATACAGTCTATTAAGTGGTAAGTCAATAGATTTATACAGTATGTCTAGATATAAACATTTTCAGGATAACCATAATATGAAAAACATTTTCTTTACACTGACAACTGGAAATTTCTACTCTCATATTATCCTTATCAGCCACTGTTAAAATGGAACATTGAACTGTAGTAAGTATTAATTATTTTCATGTACCACTACATTTACTATTTTATGTGTTGTACCAGTTGAACAAAAATATGAAAAGGATTTTTTGGCAATTAGATTTTAGTTTTGTTTTAGATTACAGTGTATGTGCCTTCACAGAACCTGTTTTTAAAACCCCAAACCTCAATTCCACCTTTGCTCCAACAGCTTCAGTACCTTCAACCACCACTCCAACATCAAGCACTCCCACCACAACTGCCTCAACTACCACTGAAACTGTGCTTTACAACACCACTACACCACCAACTACTGAAACTGTGCTTTACACTACCACTACACCAGCCACAACTACAACTGCCTCAACATCTACCACTAAACTGACAACCACTGAGGAATCAGGCACCACAATGACATACCACACTTACCCCACAGAAGTCACCGGCACAACAGAGACTGCATCTACAGATTACATTTGTACGTGCCATATACTTGTTCTGCACATTACTCCCTTTTTCTGATATCCTTGCAATCAGTTTCTTAGATTACCTAAACAATGTTTCAGTCTTTTGTATCTTCACTGTCTTCTACTGTGTTTATCAATGTACCAGATTGTAAGTGTACAGACCGTAAGAAGAAACAAAGCTGGGACTGCGGTGAGACGTGGATGGAGGACTGCTTCCATAAGAACTGTATAGGGGGCAAGATAGAGTTGACTCCAGTGGCTTGTCCAGAGACTACGGTTACCAATTGCCCCAGAAACCAGCGCACAAAAGTCTCAGATGGATGCTGTGGAAGATGGGAGTGTGACTGTAAGTACATCCTTGCCTTACGTGGCAACTGCTCTTGTTAACCCTCATCCATTCTTTCTGTTTTCTTTTTTTTTTTTTTTTTTTTTTTGGTTAGTAGGGGTTTAATGTTTCCAAACTGAATCCACAATACAAATGTCCACAAAGTCACGAGGTGGAGCTTTCAGAATGGCTGCTAATAACCCTAAGATTGCAGACCCAAGCACATTCACTGCCCAAGCCCATTTTGGCCTAACTGCCAGGGTCATGCTAGGCCGGGCTTGAATCAGGTTCTCGTCAGTTTA